CACTTGCGGAGGGTATGGCATGGCTGAGGTGTGCTGAGACCCGCCCACAAAGGGTGGAGTTTGCTCTTATTCACAGGGTGCCCATTCGAAAAAAATTTGTAGCTTGGTTCTAGAGCACTTCAGGGACCGGAAAAAAAAGTGGATTATTGTCAGCGAAGGGTCGCCGATTGAGAACTGTGGGGTATGCCTGGTGAGGGCGAAGCCTGCTCTAGGTGGGTGGAGACAGACAAAATTTCTGTATAACATGGATGTGGATGGTCTGTGACAGACTCCAGGCACCGGCAAAAGGTGAGCAAAAATGTGTAGGAGCTCCGCTATTGAAGCGAGATTTACGCGCCCATTCTGTGCGGAGCTGTGTCGATGTTGTGGGCGGGCGAAGGTCAAAAATTCACGAATTAGTTGCAGAGCAGCATAGGCACCGGGGACAGGTGGATTGAGGTCCACAAGGGGTCAGCGGACGAAGTGGAGGAGACATCTCAAAAATGGGCGGGCTGCTTTCGAGATGGGCAGGCTCTTGCTGAAAAATTTCGTGGTTCGCATCTGAGTGAGCTTGGAGATCAGGAAAAACTTTTGGGAAGAGAAACATATGGCGAGAGTTCAGCATGTCTGTTTTGTGTTGAGACCCGCCCACAGTGCATGGAGGGGTTCAAGCACGGGATCCTTCCTCCACTGCGTTTTAGTGCATAGGCCCTCCTGCTCTTGAACACCTGTCACAGGTACATTTGATACCAGTCGGTTCGCCTTCTGATGCCGGCGCGGCTCCTTTTCCAGTAAGGCCGGGCTTTGCCGGTTTTGCTTATCGTCGCGCCCTGCTTCCGTATGTAGAAGGCTCAAATAATACCCGGTTTCTCTCTCATCTGCGCACTTGATCAAGCTGCTTACCACCATTTCATAGACGGTAATAGTGTCGAAAATAGTAGGTATGATGTTATTGCTCAAGGAGCGTTGACTATGTGTACAGGTGAAATAAAAGCCGGATAATTGTTGAGTATCCAGTGTAGAAGGAGGTAAGCGCGGCAGAGCCGCTTCCGCCCTTCGGAGCCGGGTCGTATTACGGAAGGCGTGCAAGGTGTGAAAATCAAGAGGCACCTGCTGCAGCTAGAGGACGGTGCTGTGAGCGAATTATTTTTAGCGGCGAAAAGCTCTCCCTCAGGTGCACAGCAGAAGACAGCATCACCCACGGATAGAAGAAAAAGTGTAGGAACCCATTCCCCGTGTGTTAAGAGAAGCAACATATAGATAGAAATATTCAAATAAAACAGAACATGCGATGGGGGGTGTCAAAGTGTAGTTTACTCTCCGTTTCGCACGTGCCCTTAGACGGAGAGCAAACGAAAGAGTATACTCCTTCTCGTGCTCGTCAGTAAGGAAAGGCGAGGATAATGTGTTCAATTTAGCGTATATGAGCGGAACTGTAAAAATAGACAATGTACCATGAACCCTACCAGAGCATAATAACAATTATAAATGCAACCAAATAGAAATGAGAGTGGTTGGTGTGGAGATACCAATGTAGGGGTGCTCAGCTGAGAGTGTACTATTACTAATCTTGAAGGGCTTACATTCCACGTCATCAAGTCGCGCCGTGGCGTTTTCTATCTGCTCTGCGAATTCTTCTGCTAGGTACGGATTTTTTGGTTTATAATTAACAAGCTTGGCTGACGCGCACTA